TGAAATTTTTATTTGTTTGTATATTTAGAAATTACCAAAATTTTAACGAAAMATCTTTCAATCCTTTACCACACACCTGCATACATTTAATGCACACACACATACATCAGATTAGATCATTTTTGAAATGAAATAACTTCGTCTCTATGTATGAGTCCAAACCAGCTTTCATTATATACTATATCACATATTGGTAGCATTAAGTATGCATAATGTGGCGATTAGTTAATTCCACCGACTATATTATTTGTTGTTCTTGAGTATTTGAATTTTTTTTTTGGCGTATAGCTTTGAACTTCTTCGTTTTCTCCTTATTATATTTGCATATACAYAGTTAGGTATTGCCTTAGTGAATGGATAAAAAGGTTGACCAACAAAAGTTGAAAGGTAAACTGGCTTGCAGGTAGCCGGCTTACCGGCCATGATATGCCACTGAAGTGTGACTGGCTGCTGCCGTCTCAAAGCCTTTTCACGTTTATTTTTTTCTTATTGTTGTTGTTTGTGCTTTTTCGATTTTTCTATAGCACATTGCTGCAGGTGCCGCACTTTYGGCGCTCGCTGCGCCACCTGAGCCGTTTGCTTAATACAACCCGCTTACTAAATGATCTTCAATATTCTATGTACAAGGCGAAGATCGCCAACCAAAACTTGTTGTATATATTTGCACAGCTTAGCATCTGTATGCTATGTATGTTTGCCTGTTGGCATGTGAGTATGTGTATTCTTTGCGCGCTGCCTGCTTCCTCTTTGATCACATGAGGGATCGTGATTTCAAGTTTGTTGTTAAACACAACTGACCGTTCATTTGTTTGTACATTTATCTCGCTGTCCGTCCGTCCAACCATTGAAGCATTCCTACATTTCCCGGGCGCAACGCAACTGCGGATGCCGCTCTCGGTACTATTGGTGGTCGACGCGACGATTTATGGTAAAAGCCGCTGTTCATATTTATCTCACAACCATAAAGAGCATATGAGTTTAATGTTGTTTTTGTTGTCGCCGCATTACGGTGTGTGTAACAGGTGAATAACCTTTTTGCCATTTTCGTGTTTATTATTTATTTGTATTTACGTTAATGATGAGCGCATCCCAAATACAACAATAACAACAGAAACATACCAGTCACGATACATGGTATATGAAAACGCAATCGGTTCGGGTCCGAWCAGGACCCCTAATCGATCGGTTTACCAGAAAATTTGTTATGCTCATCKGCAGGTATTGTGCGAAATGGTATATTTATAGTATTTACGCTGTCATTAATGGAATTTCATTACATAGCGGTTTATACATACATACTTATATGTATATGTGGGTTCATTTTGTTTGGTGATTTGTTAAATTTCGTTAATCTCCTAATTATTGGGGAAGGACTAAAGTGTCTATATTGAAAGCTTAGAGGGTGAGTTCGGTCTAGGTTTTTCAAAGAAATCGCAATGTAAAAACCTGAAATATATACCCTCTTTTTAAGTTTTTAGAATGCGATTTCTTTGAAAAACCTAGACGAACTCACCTCCTACATAAGTTTGCCCCGCAAAAAGTCGTTTTGGAGATATCGAACTGAAATTTGTTCACTTAGAGAAACTACTTTTTTGAGAAAATATCCGATATCGGACCAGTATAAGATATAGCTTCCCCGCAAACTGATCGAACAAAATCAAGTTCTTGTATGGAAAACTTTTTTATTTGTCAAAATATCTTCAGAAAATTTGACACAGATTAAAGTCAAAAGCAATGCTATAATATCTGAACAAATTATTTAAATCGGATCACTATAGCTATAGCTGCAATACAAACTGACCGACCAAAATAGTGTTTTAGTATGGAAARCCTTTTCAATTTACTAGATATCTTCACAAAACTAGGCACAGATTATTATTGTAGGCAAACAAAACAATTTCTGAAGAAAGTTTTGAGAACGGATTATCATATCTTATATGTAGCTGTCATACAAACTGAACGTTCAAAAAGAAGTTGTTCTATGGAAAACTTTTGCATTTGATAAGTCATTTATCCATAAATAATTTCACACAGCATTTTGAACAAAACAAAGTTATAAACTTCGAACAAATTATACAGATCGGACCACTATAACATATAGTTGTCATATAAAGTGATCTATCAAAATCAAGGTATTGTATGGGAAACTTTTTCATTGATAAGATGTTTATCTAAAATTTTTACAAGGCTTTTTCTTTAATACAAGGCTATAATCTCCGAACAAATTGTTCAGATCGGGCCACTATATGTATAATATAGCCGCCATACAAACTGACCTTTTTTATTTGGCAAGCTATATTCAATATAAGCAATATTAGTTCAGCTTCCGTACCATTAATATTAACTATTGTATAGCAGMAGCATTTATACCAATTTTATTGTACAATATAAAAAAAGGGTTATAAAAACCACAGCCAACTTCCTCATACCTACATAATATTTTCATAATTATTTTTACCAACGCTTCACTGAACAATTTTATAACTATACCAGCAATATGTATTACGAGCGCTTACCCTAACGTCTCACCTATCCTCACCTTTGCCTGCGCATAGCCTGCAAAGCACCCAACATTTCCATACCAATACCATACAACAATACAATCTCATTCCTCCACTCAAGCACAGCTTGCCTTAACCATTTCTCATAGCCACTTTTGTCGCTCCTTTTCAGATGACTTACTTGGCTTTTCCCACCGTTAAGCTGTGTGCTTGTCTTTCTACTTCTTTTGACACAAATAATTTTTGACGCTTTCTGCTTGAATGCTTAGTTGCTTGGCAGGTTGCTGGAATGTGCTTAACTTATTTACATAAAATTGTATGCATATTTACAAAAGTATGCGTGTTTGTGTCTCAATTTTGTGTGTATGTGTGTTGAGTACCGTTGGTACATGTAGATACACAAATAAGTAACTTRCCGGTATTCAAATTGACGTAATTATTAGGGTTTAAATATTTGAGCATGTGTAGAATATTACAACAGTCGCTTAAGCCATATTATTGGTCTAGTAGAAGGTAGAAAAATGGTAAGAAAATTGTATCTTTTTTGCTTGATCAAGTTTTCGAAGTAAGTAATAAAGCCTTTCTACTGCCTTACGTCTTTAGATCACATATGTGGCTATCAATTTTGCGCTGACTTTTGACTCTTACTGACCTGGTTTTCTAAACTGACTAGTATTTAGTACAGCAGCGCTAGCGGTGATCACTTTTATACCTATTATTACGTCCTTTTAGTACCGACTAGTATTTCTTTCATTGTTGTTGTTGCTCATTTGTTATTATTAGGTTATTTCAACAGCCTATAAAAGACAGTTTAACTTAAACAACTCGTTTTTCATAATAAATCACACTGATTTGATTCGAGTTATGAACTTAAGATTTTGCACCATAATATTAAACGAAATGAGGGTGTCGCAACATAGGCCAACTAACACTAAACAAATGTACAAATTATGTAAATTACTAAATTATTTGCATTTATCCCTAAAGTGGGACACATGCAGCTTTGTTTGAAACTTTTAACAATTAATTTAATTTATTTGTGTAAAGTTTTAAAATATATATGAGCAGGAGTATGTCCAAGCTTTAGCAGCTAGTAGTTATTATAATACATAGGTACATAAATATTTATACCGAAACTAGTTTTCGTGCATAAATCGTACGCGCTGTGACGTCAATGCTTAAAGTGGGGCTTCTCGAAAAGGCCTAAAACAATTTACATAAACTGGTGATGCATAAAAACACGTTTTGATACCCGATCGTATTTTCACAATTATTGACGTAGCAACAGCGTTAACTGCATTATTTCCAAATACAACAATAATGTGTTGCGACATTATAGCATCCCTTTACCACAAGAGTTAATCGCATGCATGCCTTATTTGTAATTAGTGGGTTATAATTTTGTATAATAATGCATAGAATTTATTATCGTTTGATCTCTATGCGCTGATTTATGGATGGAGGACAAGTGTTTGGATGAAGAGCACGTGTAAGTTTAAGATAATACTATATCTAGTTATAATTTATATTTTAGTAAGGTGCATAGAGAAGCCTGCTAAGCAACATTTGTTTTTTTTTTTCTTTTCTTTTTTTTCAATAAAAAGTGGTGTATTTTTGAGCGAAATGTGTCAAATAACATATTAGTTTCTTGTACGGAAAAAATACAGTCGGTTGACTAGGTTAGCTAGCGCAAAATATAAATTGCAAGAAATTTATCGCTATTAGCTGAATCCCAAACAAGAMATTAAATATTCATATCAAAATTTTTCTTCATATAAGTTGAACATCTTAAAATTTTTAGCATCTTTTAGGCGCAATATATCAACTTTAGAAATTTGCTAAGTTATTTCATGAACACATAAAACTTTCGGCAATATCATATTTTAAGTGTCCTCAAGAATCTCAAACAAAAATTTGATAATGAAATTTTTTTCAGTTTTTGGAAAAATATGCTCTTCAGTTTTAAAAATATTGCAAAAAACTAAAAAAAATATATATTTCAAACCCATTTATTCAAAAGTTTTGTAAAATGAATTTATTATTTCAAAAACTTGATTTAAAATATGATATATGACAACAAAAACTATATTCGAAAAAATATTACTTCAGTAAAGTTTTATAAAATGAATATTTATTCTAAATATTTCCATCTTTGGGCGCAAATTCAAAATTATGTAGAAATTTAAAAAAAACTATGCTTAAAATATGATGATTGCGGAAACCATTATTTCCTTAAATTTTGGTAAAATTTATATTTATTATAAAGAGTGCATACATACAAAAACTTGTATAAATTCAAAAAAATATGCTCACCAGCCTTAAAAATATAAAAATAAAAGTAAAAAAAATCATATTCGGAAACCATATATTCGTTAAAGGTAACCGAAATGAATATTTATTTAAAATATTACTGTATTAACACTTATTGATGAATCATTGCCACACTTTTATGCCGTTTCTCAGAAATTCAATGAACATTTTGTTTGCTTATTTTTTCAGCCTCCAAAATGCAATATAATCTCATAAGACTATAAGGCTTGCATAAGCGATTTTCTACTATCGATGAATAACAATTATTCAGCATATCAGTAGCATATATGTATGTAGATCGGCGCAACAACTACAAACAAACGTTGAATAGAGAAGGTGAATTGCTGGATTTTTTGGTAAGTAACCCAAATATGTCACTCTCAAGTCGAAATCTTTTCAAATATAACACAACAATAAGCGTTTAAAAAGTGGAAAAAGATGCAAGTAAAATAAAATGAAAACGGAAAACACAAGAAAATAAAATAAATATGCTTAAATTATAAGCGTAGCAAAATACAATTAAAAATTGAAATCGCAAAAGTAAGTGGTAAGCTAAAAATTAAGCGTAATGTAGCTTGAAAAACGCTGCGGGCCCTATTATTATTATATACCATATAAAAATGGTTTCAAAGCGCCGACTGCATTGATTGAAAATTCGTGATTTTCTGTTGTTGTTTTTYCTATTATTTTTATTCTTTTATTTTGTGTAAAAAAGTAATTATATACACACCAAAATTATGTCTGCAATATGCCGCTTATTTAATTCAATAATAGGCAGCAAAAAAAAAAAAATAATGCATTAGTTCAAATTTACAATGAAAATGAAATTTTTAAGTCATGAAGGTGTTAAAAGCGCCACTTTTTTTTTATAAAAGTCAAAGAAAAAAAAGCAAATTATAACGCTAATAACTGAATTTACATTAAATGTTTGGAAAATATTTTTTAATAGTATGCATTTATTGTAAAAATATATAATTGTGTGTAGACTAGGGTGGGGGTTGCTAATTGATGATAAGAAATAATAGAAATTTACGAGGCGGAAGAACTTCCTGTTACAATTAAGAGCTTATAATTGGAGAGACTTTCTTAGAGGTGTCTAAAAATCTAATTTTCAGAGTACCTAGCGAAAAAAATTTAGGGATTTTTGACGCACCCTGGTATATACTAATATAATTGTGCTAATGGTGTTTAAGAACCTAATTTTCAGAGTAGCAAGCAAAAAAAATATTTGGGGTTATGACCCGCCCTAGTAATCAAGCTTTTGTATGGAAAACGTTTTTATTTGACAAAATGCAATAATGTATTCTCGAAAGATATTGCCATACAAACTGGAAAATCAAAAACAAGTTTTTATATGAAAAAGTTTTGATTTGAAAATATATTATATATTCACGAAATTTTGCACAGCTTATTCTTTAAAGCAAAGCTATATTCTCCGAAGAGATTTCCCAGATCGGATAACTATAACATATAGCTGCCATACAAATTGAACAATCCGAAATAAGTTTTTGTATGGTAATCTTTTTTATTTGACTAAATATCTTCACGAAATTCGGCATGTATTATTGTGAAAGGCAAAGCTACTCGTATAATCTACGAACACATTGTTTAGATCGGCCTACTATTGCATATACATAGCTGCTATGCAAACAGGCCGTTCGAAATCAAGATAAAAACTTCTATACACTTTGATGATATAAGAAATTCACATGTGTAGGGTATTATAGCTGTGGGCAATTCACTTTGGTATTTTTTTCTTAATTTATAAAATATACATGTATAAATCATAGTAAGTTAGCATGATGCCATGCAAGACACCCACTATACTATAATCATTGCAAAAGAGCTATTTCCGCTACATTTTTAGGCAGCATATCCTTTCATTCATACTAATAAGCTGCGTGTTTAGTTGGAGCGCATGACACACATGCATACATGTGAACACACGTATACATACACACATGCATAGAAAAGCACGATTAAAGTGAAAGGTGCTCCCACAATTCACAGTTTGTAACTTCATTATAAATTTTTTGCCCGTTGTCGCTTTGATTACCATTTGCTGTTGTTGTCTTATATTTTTGTTGTTGTTATGTTTTTCGCTATACGGTTTTACCAGTCAGCCAGCCAACCGAGTTATTTATACGCACACAACATGCTTGCAGCAGTTTTACACACACGCCCACATACACAGAAAAGTAGTTATGTATCAAAAGCCATGCTACAATAAAAACTCTTTGTTTGTGTGTGTTTATATATAAAAAACTAAACAAAAAGTGATGAAATGAAATGCCTTGAACGAGAAAGTTGCTAAGTTGTTGGCGCAACATTGGCGGCACCAGCAGCAGCAGCAGCCGTCTGTAAAAGCAGCGCAAATTCAAAAGCACTGCTGTGCGCTACAAACGCTCGTTGCGTCGCACCACTCGTCTGAGGCTTGCCGTTATTCCTGCTGATCATTACGTGCAACATTATCGTCAACGTGTTGGCCAATATTACCAACATTACCATTAACTTCAGCGCCAACATCCATCAACTTCAGCAGCAAACACCATGTGTAGCTTTTGYCTTTATCACGAAGCCGCCAGCAACTAGTTGCCGCTTTTATATTAAAAATAAAACAAAATTGTAAATACATTAAATCAAAGAAGTGCTTCAAACTCAACTTTTGCTCGAATTTACTGCCAACACATACACACACAGAGTGTGTATACGTTCGTGCCCCGCAGACATAAACCATCACCGACCAGCAGACAGTCGCCGCTGCCAACGACTCGCTGTACATGCATACATATAACCGCATTTTCCATCTAAAATTATTTTTAAATACTTTTTAATTCGAGCGAAAAGTGCGGTAGCAACACCTAATATATAATAGGAACTCAGCGTGCTGAAAAAAAYGATCATGTATTGTTTAAGAGCACCCTGTGAGCAGCTCTAAAGGGTTATGACCTACTTCAAGTCGGAAAAACCCCGTTTTATTTGATAAAAAAAAGTATGTATATCTACAGAATTGTATGTACTTCCATAAACAGTTATTCATTTTTTGATTCTCTTCATCCCGTGACCGATGTCCAGCAGGATTTCCGAAAAAAGCTGTCTGAAATTTTCGAGTGATTACAAATCCTTCAGCCTGACAGAAATAATGTTAACAGTTCAAAGCTTGGATAACTGTAAATTTATTTAGTGTTGCAGATTTTAACTTTTGCATTAACTTTTGTTGAAAAAAAAGTTTTTCAAGCGCATTATTCTCATCGCTGCAGTTCTCCACAGCGTTTRAAATTAAAGCTACAAGTTTAATGACTTGTGAAACTCTTAATATTATATATTTTATAACTCCAGATTATAAAATTTTCATCATTAAATTTGTTTTAAAGCTTAATGTTTTGCTCGCATGGCGCACAGAASGCTCATTCAAATTAAGCAACTTATAATCAAATATTTAACCAAATTTTTCCTACAGGGCAACACATAAGCTTTTAATACATACAAATTCATCAAAATGTAGATCACATAAGCATACATACCAGAGCAAAAGGCACGATCAAAAAATAAAATAAAATAAAAGCAAGTGCCTGAAACAAAATAAATGTAATAAAATCGTTCATAGCTGCTGGCGTACATTATTATTAAAAGCGTTTACCGCTGTGGCAGCGCTTCCGATCAACTGCCGCAGCGTATACAGCAAGCACCGTTGGTTGCGTTGAGGCATTAACGTGCTACATTGATCACAGTCAAGTATGCCACACACACATACAAGCCTTTTGTTGTATGTATACATTCATCAACTCAGGTGCGTGTGTGAGTACACTCGTATTTTGCCGCGGTGCGCATGCGTAGCGCGTGCAATTCATTTTAACTATTCATTAATTGTGCTGACTCTTCAAGAGTAGACACATGAAAGGCACACACACACAACTACGCATTTCAGCCAACACATGACACATAAAAATCCAAAAATAACACCAACAAGCACACTCAGCATTGCAAGCACAACCATGGCGAATCACACAAACAGTTTTAATCAGAAATAAAACGAAATTATAGAAATTTGTGGTTGTAAAAAAGTAAAATAAATGTACATATATAAAAAGTAAAAGACAGCAAACATCGAAACCGTGTTGGGCGTAAAGAAGTTAGCTAATGAGCCGCCAGCGATCAAACTAAATCGAAAAACGTTAATTAACCAAAACCGTAGTCAATTGCCAAATCTCCAATCGATACGCTCGCATAACTGTTGGGGGGGTTCAAATGTTGATTGGACGATTTATGAATTGATTGATAACACAGCTACACATGCAAGTTTGCGCATGTGCATGTAGGTATCTGTGTGTATTCATCCATTGAAACCTCTAATTATATCAGGTTTCGTTGCGGTTTGATCCCTACTATGATTGGATGCGGTTGAATGGGCGCCTGATGACGAAAAGCGCGGCTAAGAGATTTCGTAAATGTGTTTGGAAGGTAATTAGGGAGAAAATGTTACTAAAATAAAAATGAAAATATTTCAAAAAGTATTTTGGGTGTTGTTAGCAAAAATTTTGAAAATTTAAAATGAAAAAATATTTATTTACACCATTATTGTTATTTTGCTTTCTTCAAAATATAAAATTTTACTTTTGCATAAAAAATTAGTAGCAACCCCTTAAATTTTTTTTTTTACTAATATTCGCTTTTTCTGCCGCGGAATATTGCTACTATATTAGGAGAAAATGTTATTAAACTGAAATAAAATACTTCAAAAATAATTGATGGCGTTATCAAAAATTTTGTAAATTGGAGTAAAGGTTTTGGCGTAAAAAAATTTGAAATATCAAAGTAGTATTTATTTACACGATTATCTTAATTTTGACCAGTACTGAATATTTACTTTTTATTTGTTTTATAAAAACATATGTGCAACCCTGTTAAAAATTTTTTTCTATAAATTTATTCCTATAAAACTACGTGTGCGGGAAATGTCAGCGATGTCTAAGGCGAATTTTAGAAAATCTGAATAAACGGCCGTATGAGAGATATGCAATTTACAAAGTTTTCCGATTCCATCAATCCGACAAATGATCAATATATTATCTATAAAATTTCGCCTTAAAAATCGCTGATTCGAAACCGTTTTTAGAGTTAAAGTCTCTGAGGCAAGGTTGTTTAGAATGATTCGTACAAGACTTCTCGTATTCGCGACTTTTCGTTTTTTTTTTTTTGGGTTCCTGTATACATACATACATATATGGTCTTTAATTTTTAAATTAACGAATTATTTTTGAAAAAAATATTTTGCTTATTTATCACATAATCTGAATAAGTAATACATATAAATTAACAGACACAGAAATTTAAAACAATTAAAATAAATTCCTTT